AAATATAAATAAATATATAAATATATAAATATATAAATTATATATAAATTTATGATTTTTTATTATATAAATGTTCCATAAATCAATATGCATACTTGTAAAGCTATAATAATATCCTATATACTGTAGAAAAATTACAATTTTTTGCTCTGCAGTTATCATCTCTGTTGATAATCAAACTTTGATGGTAACACTGAAATTACACAAAAATTTAAAGAAAAATCGAATATTATTAAGTTTTAAATGCATAAATACGTCTACTAAATTAATAAATCGTAAAATTAGTACAATATTTTCAGTTTTTAACTCTTAATTACTTCAATATTCGCAAGGACGCGAACTCCCGTAAGGATGTCGATCTTTAATAATATCTCGTTAGTGGTCTAAGGGCTTTATCCAGCTCTCGTTTAATGTTCATTTCTATCAATGTAGATTAACTTTAATTTCGATTCAACTAACTCTTCATCTTTTTCTAGTTTTAAGAATTATTAAAAGAGACGGAGTAAATTAAATAAAGATAAAAATTTATCTACATTGGTAGAAACGGACATAATTCCGCCATGACACGAACAACATTCGTTTGAAAGATCCCTCTCTTTCTCTCTCTCTCTCTTTCTTTTACACACACGCACACTATTCTTACTATCAGTGGCATCAGTGCACTAGTATATGTTCTGTGAGTGCATCACTGACTTTTCTACGCATACCTATCTATGTCTACGCGCCTGTTCGCACCTCCTTGGCTTGCCTCTTTGTGGCTTTGTGGCTGTGTGACTCAATAACACGGTATTCGATAATGACATTAGCGATACATGCGATATCTACGTCTCGCTCCATCTCGCTTGCAGAGTGATTGCCCAAGATTCGTCCACGCCAAGAGCGAATTCGAAAAGCGCATTCCCAACCGAATTCGTCCATCCGATTTTCTCGACTCAAAATTCCAGAAAATCCTCTACTGTGTGAGTGAAATTCGTACAAAAATCGTGGAATGCGCCTTCGACATACGCGGGATTCAATTATAACGGACTCAAACTACGACAAACGCATACATTGCTTGAAATTCAGAGTTCAGACCTTTCCTAAACATTTCAAGTATCTTCGATTGAGAGATTTTTTTCACGCTTTTGCCTCCTTGCAGGATGTCAACGTGAGAGAACGATTGTATTTGTAATATCTCAAAGACGTTAGCAAATCGGACAACAACAAAGATTAAGTACGCACGCAGCCTTTTCACTGTCGAAAGCAGACGCAATGATGGATACAGATCCGCCGGAATTTCTGTCGAAAGACGATGAGATTCAATATTGGATGGATCTTGCGAACCAACTACTTCAAAGGTAGATTGTCTTACTGCTTTTAAGAACGGTTCTGTCCAACGTACAGTTTGAAAAACTAGAAAGTATATTTTACAATTTACATAGAAATATTGGGCGTTTTCCTGCTAGAGACAGAGATGAAATAGTTTAATATTGTTTAATGTTACATTTAATTAATGTAGTCGGACCGTTAAATCCTTAATATCAAAAATATGATTGTATACAGAATTTAAAGGACTTTATGTAAAAAAATTAACATTTATGGAATTTTCATCTTATTAGGTGTAGTAAAAAGTCATCGCGTATTTTTAAAAGACATCTATCAGCAAAAACCGCAATTACTTTCTTACCAACAATATAAATATATCTTGATAGAGTAAAGTTTCAGCTTTAAAAATCTCTTTTTTAAATTATACGATACGACAATTTTTAATGGAGTTATGAGCAATTAAAGTCAAAATAATTCTTTTATTTAATCCGCGATAACTCAGTAATCAAAAGTCGTAGGAATATTAAAAAAAAACGATTTTGTAGGGAAAGTATCAAGCTTTCACGATATGTAATCGAAAATTTTCTCAAATTCGTTTTGGACACGTTACAAATCCACAAAGTGAGAAGAAAATTTTTCGTATTTTTCAGCTCGTAGTTTTTGGTATGTAAAAATTATCAAACTCATATAAACTTAAAAAATGTGATAAGCTTTTAAAAGTAGAGATTTCAAGCTTTAAAACCATTTTTTAAAATTTGAATTTCATTCATATTGACGAAGATATTGTATATACAACTTTGAGCTAAAAAATACGCGATGACTTTTTACTACACCTAATATTTGACTTGCGTGTTCGGTTTTATTTTACTGTGTTCATTATTTGGAATATATGTAACTCTCTGCTCTGCGTTTATTCTGTATTTATGAATGAGGATGACTCAAATGAAGATGGCGAAATATCAAAGTTATTGTTACAATAATATTCAATAAATAATTTATTATACATAAGCACATTCAGTATTAGCTTTTGTTGGTTTCTTTTATTGTATAATTATCATGTAACATTGCAAACAAGAAAGATGTAATGATTTATTTATTGTATCTCCACTGAGATCATCCAATATCAGGATCCATATTCGACATTTCTTTATTTATTTGATTTTAATTTATTTTTCTATAAAACTGCCATGGTGTAAATTATAATAGTGTCATCTATTAGGATCAAAGTGATGTGATTATCAGGATCAATGATTATCAGGATTGTAAATATATGATTTGATTCTCTATATGTTCTGTGCTATGTGAATCATAGGTGGTCTGTCTAGATTTTTTCCTTCTTTATAATAATTTTCATAGTTTTTTATGAGAGAGAAATACATTCAAAAGGCTTTTTGCCAACAGTGAACTAATCCACATTTTACAAAACGGAAAACATGAACTTTAGTTGAAGTAATGGAAAAAATATATTTGTGTTTTTATAAAATGTGGATTAGCCCATTGTTGTTATAATTCTTTTGTTTTACTTAACAAACGTAATAAATAACGATACTAAGGATTGCAAGAGATTTACATGACATAATGAACAATTTAAAATTAGCGCAGGACATGTTAAACAATTAATAGAATCAAATGAAAAATGTTACTGTGCCTAAGATATTACTTTATTCAAAAAGTATTAATCTTATAACTATGATACAAAATTTTATTGCATTATGTAAATTAAAATGTACACATACAAGTTATATTCTTAATTATCTTACTTAATGACTAAACATTGAATCATTATTTAACATTACTTTGTATTTCACATAAATTTTGGATGATTTGCTGGAGGATGTTATTCTTTGCGCAATAGATATGTAATAAAAACAATTATAGTGATTTTTCTTTAAAGTAAAAGAGTTGAAAATAATGTTTGTTAATATCCAGGAAAGATGATGTTGAGAGAGAACTAGAAGAATTTCAAGAGAATTCGCAGATGCTGGAAAAAGAGTTGGAGACCTCTTTGGAACAAGCAGAAAAAACAAATAGAGAATTGAGGCAGAGAAATACGAGACTTGCCACAGAAGTCGAACAATTGAGAACACGACTAGATCAACAGTCTGCGGATTGCGCCATGTTCCAAGGAAAGGCACAGGATTTACAGCAACAACACGAGCACTTACTCAAGTATATTAGAGAACTCGAACAAAAGAATGACGATTTGGAAAGAGCACACAGGTACTTGATATTTTCTCAATTGACTAAACTAATAATAACTGATCGTTAACAATTTCATAAAAACTACGTTATCTCTCTTGTAGGATAAATAGGGTTACAGAAGAAGAAATAGAAGCTAAGTTTAATTTAGCTATAGAAAAGAATGCCTTGCTCGAATCCGAACTCGATGAAAAAGAAGGCCTAAAAGTCATAGTGCAAAGATTAATGGACGAAGTTAGAGGTAATTGATAATCTTTTCTTTCAACACACTTTACAACGATAGTTAATATTCTATGGTATTTTAGATTTGAAGCAGGAGATACAAGTACATGAAAGACATCACGCCGACAATAACAAGTCTGTTGAAAGAGTTCGTAGTATCGTTGATAGTAATAAGCTACAGGCTGAATTGGAGTCGAATTCACCCGCTAGCCAAATAGTCTCACAAACCATACCTCAGAATAATACGACGACTTCACCGATAAAAAGTAGGTTGTACAAAACTTTTGTTAAGGCAAAGTACTTTTTCCACTTTGCATCGAGAGGACAATCGTCAAAATTGATAGATATCACAAATCATGCGGACATCAAAAAGTGCAAATGAAAATATGTACTGCATAAAATAAACGTTACTAATTATTATTATTATTATTAAGAATAGTTTAAACTACAATTTCTTCTGTATTTTATTCGCTATTTATCTTGAGATTTGTGAAATTAAAAAGGAATTACAACAATATGTGTGCAGCGGAATGCATTGATGTAACTAAATAAATATTTTTAATACTATTTTCTTTTTCTTTGTTTCGACTTCTTCAAAAAAAATCTTGACACAATTAAAATTATATATATCTAACCACAAATTTCAAAACAAATTCAAATTAGAAATTTATTTAGTCACATAAATTAATTACAAGTTATTAATTTGACTTTTGTGTTTTTCGCTAGTTGGACACGGGATGGTAGGAGGTGTTATTGGGAATAACAATAACAATATGAGCCAACCATTACCACCCTGCACTAGAATACTAGCAATGAACATGATCGGTGACCTTATGCGAAAAGTTGGGGTAAGCATATACAATATATCTCGAATATTTTCTTTACTACACACCTATAGTTTTTTAAGCTTGAAGCATGGCTTGTATGTCTTTCCGTATCTTTATACACATAACGTAAATGATATATTGTATTTTATATATACATATAAAATTGCTGTGAATTTAATAGTACAAAGCAATTGTCTGTGTAAATACGAATTTTTTCAGTTTTTATTAATTTTTCTAATAAAGTACTCGTTACAAAAATTACAATACATCACAATTAAATTGATAAAACATATTATTATGTGTACATACGTAATATACAATTGATATGTAAGTATTCCCTGTATTGTAAGTAAGTCGGATTTGATTTGCACTTGGAATTAGATGGGAGTCAGTGTGATGTAGTTGGCATTTTGGTAGCTTGACAGGTGGGTCTGTATGGGCTGTAGGAGAATAAAATGCACTTGTCCGAGTGAACAAATATCGAATACCACTTCCTCTACTGGCCTATCCGCTGCCCAGACTCACGTGTCTACTCAGTGTATAAGGCAACAACCTAGACCGACCGCGTGCAGATCTTCGTCATGATTTCTCCATCGTTAAATTATTTTGCATCTCCTTAAAGAGCAGGTCTCGATATTTTATTTTCTCGTTATTACAAACGCTTTTGGTTATCCACATTAATCATCCTGGCTTATGCATTGCCGAACATTTCATGCCTGCACTTAATCAAAATAATTCTATGTGATATATTATATATTGTAATATCTGTTAATTCAACATTTATCACAACATTTGTCGCAATCTTGTCAATATAACACTTGTTGTATTTGTCTATTATAGCTCTGAAGGATAATAATATTAAAATAATATTTTTAAAAAGTAGCATATCTCTGATCATAATTATTCTTTTCTACAGGCGTTGGAGAACAAGCTGAACACGTGCAGAAATGCGTTCCGAGAAGATCAAGTTCGCGATCTCTACAGGTAACACAACAGTCACGTTTTAATCATGTTAAATTGCGTTGTTGTACTCTTATTCTATCGTGCACTGTACTCACAAGTAAATGTCATGCATCCATCTTACGGTACATCTTTCTCTTTTTCTTGTCGTTAATCAATCTCGAAAGCACGTTTCTCGACAAATCTCGAAATTCTGAACGAAATCGCACGAAATCATACATGTACATGATATACTCACTGACTTAATCGTACTTATTGTTAGTATAACAATGTTGGTTGTGTTCTTTCTATCGATTATGCTTGTTATGATCAGCGCCAAGACGTTCAATTTCTATATACTTAAGGCTTTTGATGCAATATTATGTAGTACTGATTTTCTTAGCTTAGAAGATTGAGACGTTTTACAAAGATAGACGCGTGGCTCTTCCATTTGATAAACGACTGCCTTTATTATATAGCAAAGATTCTTTATTTTAATTAAATTTACACAATTCCTTTTCGCCATTATATTTATCTCATCTTGTTCAATCACGATTATTTATAGTATCAAGCACGTTACTTCTTTTTATACATAGGAAGTTTATAGCTTATCTGCTTATGCTTCTTAGATAATTGTTAAAATTAAGTGTACGAGTAATTAATGACAATGGCATAGTTTTAATCATTTGTGTATTTCCTAAACCCTATTATGCCATGTTTGAATATGTTCAAAAATAAATATGTCATTATTTATTGGGAGTTATATCTAAATCTTGTTTAAATTGTTAATTCTTTCTTTTTTTTATCAAATTCAATAATTTTGAAATTAAAGACTTATTTACGTACGTATTTATTTCCCGCGATAAATATGTATAGTAATTCTTTATACTTATGTTATGTGCACGTGAAATCTCGATGCAAAGTGCAACATACACATTTCCCTCAATGTGTTCGAATTTGTACATACTTGTATAAATTAGAACACGAAGTAATTAGCTGTTAAAATGTATATATACGATAATATATGCGTACATAGTCTCTCATAATTCCCACAATTCGTGTCGATCCATTGGAAATATAGACACGATAGCATATTTTACACAAGGCTTGCTTGCTAGCAGACAATTATTATGCGAAATTCGACTAGAAATTCGTTAAAAGAAAAACGAATGGGTTAATTGTAAAATACACAAATGACAAATTTTATATAATTAGCTGCATTTTTCACGCGCGTGTAGAGAAATATTCATAAAGTATAAAAATTAAAATTGTAAAAAACTGTGCTAATAAGACTAAATACGACTGTGTAAATGATACACATATATACAAGAATGTCAAAATTGGACATTATAAATGCAATATATATATATATATTCTTAATTTTTTCAATTTTAATTATCTTATCAGATGTGACTCTGTGCTAAATCGTTCGGACATTAAACACAATCAATCTGAAACGTTAATAATTATTTTATAGATAGGAATGTCCGAATGTTTCGGCGCACAGTCACATCTGAGATAATTAAAATTTAAAAAAAATTAATATATACTGTGGTAATTAGCTACACGTAATTCTTAAATTTAGCGATAATATATGCGTGTACATATATTGTATATAGACGCTAAGCGTCAGAGTTAGCGTCAGTGTGCAGTTACATTAAGAATTTATTCGACTCTGTAAAATAAGAATGTGATGTGATTTAAATACGGTTTTGAAACAGCGTTCGCATACATCATAAACTGTAGTAAAGGATGCTTTTTTTTATTTACTGCCATATTGTGTCATAGGCCAAAGTTCATAGTCAATTATATTTTAAGATTGTCTTAAATAGTCTTAAGATGTCATAAACTAACAGAAACATACAAAAACAATCGTACTAACATCTTAAGACATTACTTAAGATGCTTAAAATAAGAAGCGACTACAAATACCGGCCACAGTGTAGGCTGACAAGAGATTATTATTTGTGACTCGATACATAAAGAAAAAGCATTAATGTAGAAAATATCATATGTACCGCACAAAATATGAAATGATACACACTTGTGAGTCCCTCCTTGCATGAATAGCTATTAATTTTATATATTGCATCCTTGTGCATATATTGCATCTTTTGCCATGTGGTAAAGATGTCATTAATGTCATGTTTTCTCTAAATATGTGTTAAATTAATTTCGAGATATTTCCGATTGTGCATATTTGGCAAGTCTATGCACAGATTTTGAATCATTAAATATTCACTGTCGCAAATTCTCGTTCGATGTTATTCTTTTATTTCTTCAAGGATGTATTACATATATTCAAAAAATAAAAAAATTATGAAAACATTTGTTTATTGTAGTAATAAAACAAAAAATTTAGCGGCGAATTTAGAACCTAATAAAAAATAAAAAAATTGTTGCAATAAGTCTGTTTTTCATCTTTATCAGTGCTCCAATGGAATTGTATAGAAATGTATTGTAAAATAATAATAAAAATCTATACTAAATTTTTTAATATAATTACTTCAACTATTCAAGATGATTTATACAGTTTTATTGCGATGGAGAGATTAGTTCTGTAAATAAGCAAAATTTATTTACTTATTTATTTAACAAAACGATTAATCTGCATTACAATGAAAATTTGTAATAAATCATCTTAAAAAAGTTGTACAAAAAATTCAGATTTTTGTCATTTAAAAAATGTTAATGTTATATAACAAATAATACCAAGTAAATAAATTATAAAAATGTGTTGTTCAATAAAAATAGAATGTTATAGACGTAGCTTTCATATGTAGTTTATTTAAAATATAAAAATTAACGCATTAAAATGTTAAAATGAGAGTGATACATCCTTAAAGCATTAGAAGTAAACGCAAGCTATAACAAAAGATTGTTGCGTTTGTTCAATTAGAGCTAGACGACAGGTCCGAAGCCCAGCCACAGGAAACAACAACCACATTCGATTATAAGCGAATTTAATGGAAAGGACATAATGTTGCAGCGATCATATGTTCGCACGTCCCGTTGTGATCCCAATATTAGTTGGAAATTTCTTTGACGGACTTCTGTTCAAGTTTCATTAAGTTAACTGGAGAGAGAGAGAGAGAGAGAGAGAGAGAGAGAGAGAGAGAGAGAGTTCACGCAAGATTGAAAGGCATCGCCATGTTTCAACGTGAAAAAATCGTTTTTGATTTACGGGGACATGAGATGATATAGATTCTTATATATATTTCTCTCGACTGTGTATGGATTTTCCCAATAGCGGTGTTCCATATTGCCTCGACAACATTTGTCGCGATATCTTGCTAGAAAACATCGCACAGGATAATTATAGTGGCAAGTCGATGATTCATCGCTGTAAAAATTATCCGTTTGCTCCAAGTATGAGATAGGTGTCGAATGTTTGCTGTAATTATTGCGAGCGATATTTTTTTAACAATATCGACAAACGTCATTAACAGAAAATATGACAACGTTATCCAGCCGTACTAATAATATAGTCCGTTTTTTTCCACACAAGTAAAAGATATATTTTATTATTAAAAAAAAAAAAAAATAGGAAGCCTAGTGATTGCAAAAAGTAATTCGTATGTGGGAGACATACACAAAAAAAAACCTTATTTTTAGAAAGTAAACATTAATTAGCAATTTATTAACAAAGAATAAAATAGATTGTATATTTCTCAAAATTATTTTACCTAAAAAGATGTAATAATTAAAACATATTTATATATAATAAG